GAATCATAATATGATATTATATACGGGGTGTTCCATTTGAAAAATCAAAGAAGCCGCTACTTTATAGTAGAAGCGACAACGCCGCTTCGTCTGAAATATTTTAGGCGTGTAGGTCATATTAACTTATGCATACTGTGAAATTTTCAGGTTGATCCGTTAAATAGTTTGTCAGAAACGGCTAATTAACGCTCATCATGAAAAGCCCTGTATACAGGGTGACTCACAAGTCGTTGTCTGCATTTTTTGTCATTCACAAGAAGTTGTTGATGTATTTTTTCTTCCAGGTTCCCCCGATTTACGGTCTAGATACTTCAGACGTCTCTAGGTGGGAGGAAAACGTCTCTAAAATCGCATTCGAAATCGTTGAAAGCCACATTTCCGGTGGCCATTGTGTTCACGAAAGACTACCATCGAGGTCCGGTAATTCCTTTCCTAACAGCGATGACACCACTCACACTTGCGAGGTGTGCGACAGAATTTTCATCGGCGATTTTCAGTGGGCACACCATCAGAAATCAACGCGGCACAGGAAGATGGTAGAAAGTAAGAAGAGAAAAGAGAAACAGGCCATTAATGAATGAAATGTAAGATACTTGCCTAATTGCTATTGTAATTATAAGGAAAACAAATAGCTAGTTGAAATGCTGTTCGTAGATTTCATTTCACATTTTTCGTTTCCTAGACTTTCGAAGGCTTCTAAAAATCTATTGTCGTATATAGATCTCAACAAATTCAAACGATTCTCGTTTACAATGTGACTGTTTGCTGAGACACTGAAACTCTCTGGCCTGCGAAACGAAATTCATGAAATATGTTCTTCGAAAGAAATTTTTACAGTCCACTCAGCTGGACCCACATACTTTTTTTCGCAGACTTCACATCTCATCGTGTAAATGCTAGACTTCGTTTCCATCCTGTTATTTATTATTTGCATGTCTCACTAGTTTTGCTTGAATGCCAATAAAACTCGTCCATTTATCAATACAAAAAATACATGAACATTTGCTTATTCGAAAGTTTGTATACTGCAAAATTCTTACCCTGAGATTTTATGTCGCATCAAACCGTTTTCTCAGATTGATGTCACAAGTGTCTGAAAATTACTCCTTTACATGATTTACACATCTTCGTAAAAGTAAACAGGTAAATTTTGAAAAAATAATCACAGTATTATATTACTTCTAGGAAAACAGGTTTTTAAAAAAATTATCAATTCTGACAAAACAAAAATTTCGAAAAAAACAATTACAATACAATATTTCTTATAGGAAAACAAGTAATTGATATATATATGTTAATTTATTGATATTTTATGAAAACAAGTTCAAGAATGAGAACGGTGAATGAGTAACTATAGTCCGTTCATAATTTGTCGATAGCACAAAATGAGGGCCCAAGTCATAAAACGGTCGTAAAACTCGTAAAATCATAGGCGGAGGTTCCTGAGGTGTTTATTCATTAAATATAAAGCTTCAGTTTATATTCGAAACTTGCCTTGAAAGGGTGAAGTTGTTACGAACGAAAATAATTTTTGGTTTAGTACATTTTTTAATCGCATTTAATTTACGGCTCGTTGGTGTTTCGGCGTCTACGGCAGTAATTAACGTCTCTAATATTTATTTTGCGAATTTTGTGCAGTGCGTGAGTAACTTTTTTTCATATTCCTACAAACATATACGTACCTTTCGTTCCTGCTTGTTTTGTTTGATTGCTTGCGATGGCTTCGTCATNTTAAAGTAACTAATGTTTTAATCATATACTCTACGACACTGGTCACTCATTTCCACTCAAAATATCTACATAATCGGATTAAAAGTTTTATAGCTGTATTGTATTTCTTCAGATACAAGGTGGGTTAGTCGAAAACATCTTAAACTGCCAGTTTAAGTTTGGTTTTTGTTATTATATCATATTAGCTGTCCTCTTTGTATTTCAGTTCTCTAATGAGGGTCAAACTTGCAGTGAGCTATCAACAAATTATGAACGGACTATAGATAGATAGATATCTTTATTTACTTTACAGAGTATTTGTAGTCCTACATGCATGAACACAGTGGCAGAATACGTTGTCTGTCTGTAAAAGTACGTCAACAAAATACAAAATCTTAAATCTACATACACTTCGGGAAATATGGACTGTCAAAAATCACACAAGGAACTTAAAAAAATAAATATATAGTAGTAAATGCTAAACAAAACTAAAATACATCATACTTTTTTAGATACATATTACACTGACAAACATTTTTTGACTAAAGAAATTTGATTCAAATGGAACTTTTGCATTTTTACACATTTTGAAAAAATTCCTGAATACTGTAGGGCTCCTGATCGAGATGGAATTCTTTCAAATACCTGAGAAACCTGCTTACAACCTCAATGTTGCGTATATTTTGGGGAATTCTGTTATAGAATTTCATGGCTAGATAGATGGTGCTTCGCTCATACAATGCCTTAGTGTGAATGGGATACACAAAATCATTTTTATGTCTTGTTTCATTAAAGTGGGTTTTACGGTATTTCTCGAAAACTTATTTGACCTAAAAATTCCTCTACAGGTATTTCTAGAATTTTTATTGGAAAGTACTCCTACCACTCTTTTTTGACTCAGAAAAACTCTACATAATTCATTACTTGAACCCCAAACTGTTATTCCTAGCCTCATGATTGAGTAGAAATTTGCATAATATACAGTTAGTAATACTTCAAGATCAACATATTTTTTAGGTACTCTTATCCCATATATTACTGAAGACAATCTACTGCATATATTTTCTATCTGAATTGTCCAACTCAAGGTATCGTCAATGCTGATTCCCAGAAACTTTACTGAAGTATTGCAAATAAGTTTTTCACTATCAAGTGTTATGTGATGTGGCGTTTCTAAACTGTTGTTGGTTTTAAATATGAGGCAGTCATTTTTTCCTTCATTTAGAATTAACTTGTTCTCAACAAAATATTCTTTGCATCATTTGATTACGTCACATCCATTCTTGATTATATCTGGTGAAGTGGCACCAGTTAGCAGAAGATTGGTGTCATCAGCATAGTTGATAAAGTGAGCAGACTTTACATTTTTTGTAGCCTCGCTGATGTCATTGATAAAAATAATGGGTATTGGGCCCAGAATAATACCCTGTGGGACTCCTATCGATGTAGCCAAGGTCTTTGATGTAACTGTTTTGTTTTTCTGATTGAGTTGTACTATCTGCTTTCTGTTTTTAAGATATGAGTTAAACCAGTTATAAGTGTTACCTTGTATACCGTATTTTTCAGATATCCATGTTGTTGATTGGGAAACATGTTGAACTTTGTAAAAAAGGAAACTAGTCATTTAGCCTTGTCTAAAGTTGGAAGGTTCCGACTTATTTCCTTTTTTTATGAAGTAGTTTCACTAGATCTACCTTGAGTTCATCTGGAAAAACGCCCTCCTCAAAAGAACTATTAATTAAATGGGTTAAAACTGTTACAATTTGTTGTGCACATTTTTTTAGTATATGGATTGGTACTTCATCAATACCTGTGCTTTTCTTGTTCTTCGTATTATTTATTATTGAGAGCAGCTCACATTCTGTTATAGGGTTCAAGAAAAGGGTGTGACTGTGAAAAATCTATTGCCTTTTCAAAACCACTTACCTTACATATATTTTTCTGTCTTGTTAAGAATTCCTGGGCCGCTTTTATAAAGTATTCATTAAAGCAATTTGCAGCCTCATGCGGATTATTGAGTTCAAACTGTTCATTTTGATTTGAACCTATCACTTCGTTAATAACCTGCCACATTGCTTTGGATTTATTGTCTGACCTAGCTATTTTGTTCGTATAATTATTTTTTCTTACATTTTCTAAAAGGTTATTGTAATTATTTTTTTTCTCGTTGTATATTGCTTTATAGCAATTTTAGAGATGGATTGGTCATTGTATTGATTTACAGATATTCTAGCAGGTTCACTTTTTGTCCTTATTTTCTGTATGTCTACACACGCCTGTATACACACGCTTGAAGAAGCGAAACACGTGTTGCGTTTTTGTAAAACTGTTTGGTAAAAATCTCATAATAAAGTGTTTCTTGAATACGTTATGGATTTTCATCAAATATCGGCCGATTCCATCATGTATGATCATTGAAACTCTCACAAAATTCAGTCTATTGTCCATTCAAATTAATGAAACTAATTTTGGTTTTTTCCTCTTACTTGGATTTATAATTGAGTTGATGGTTCGCCTTATTGACTGTATTGTTGATTCTGCAAATTCCTTATCATAAAACTGTTCTCAGTTGTAATAGTGAAGTCTCCCAAGACGGAATTTTTATCTTGTATTAATTATTCACCTCTAATTTTTCATCAATTTTGAAATATCATCATTAAAAAATGGTTTCAAGTTCGTTTGCAATCTTCTTTGCTTCTCAGACCTATTCCTTTAAAAAATTTCTTCAATTCTATCCTAAATATGGTTTCAACATCTAACAAATATCTCAAAAATGAGATACTGTCGCAAATATTGAATTATAAGACATGGAATTCTGACTGTAAAAAACATTTCACATATTTGATTTCATGAACTATATAACTTTTATCCTTCAAAGTGTCTTGGCCCTGCTAGGCCCGTCAAAGGAAAAGCTTTTCTTCCCTATATTTAATATGTTAGACTGGATTGGGAGAATTTTAGAGAAACACGACGTGAAACCAATACTTAGGCCAACAAAAACTGTCATACATCAGTTGAAGACCCCAGAGAACTTTAACAACATAAACAAGAACAGTGATCTAATTAAGAGAAACCAAGCTACCTTCGACCGCTACCTCATCGCCTTCGGTAATGTCTACCGCAGTAGTAGACGAAGCGCCAGGCATGAAAACCTGCAGGCCACGGCCAAAAAAAAACGGAAAATAGCTTAGACACAAATGTGAGTTGCTAATTTTTTGGACTCTCACATGAAAAAAGACTTTTAGATGTCTTTGAAAGTCTAGAAATGGAAAATTATGGAATGAGATCCTTGAAAAGCGACAAAAAACATACAATAAACTGTATTGATTAGTTTTTTTACTATTTTTTACTTTCGGTTCATCGTATTCAAACTGCCAAAGTTAAACAAACTCTTAATCAACAAAAAACTAATTGAAAGTTCTGTCGACGTTGCTGGCGTTGAATATTCAAAAATTTTTTATATGGTCGCTCCTTCAAAACGGAATTTTACTCTATAAATGACATTTCAGAAACGGCAACCAGTTCATAATTCTCTTTCACTTTTTGTATCCTTATGGAACTATTGCCGGAAATGTAAAATCGTTGACAAATGATTCGGCCGAACAGTTATTCAATCTATGTAGATTGTCTAGAATTAAAATTCAAATAAAGTAATTCATATTCACAACTTTTTCTGTTCCCAGTACCAACGGCAACATATTAAAATATTAATCTCTTCCATGACCAACATAATCAATTAATTGAAGTTACTCAACATTCTTGGTGTTGCGTCATACCTAAACTTGTTCATTCATAAGTTTGGTATTCTCATAGCATAGGCGTCCTGCTAAAAAGGGTGCAAGATTTCAAAAAACGTTTTATTTCATCATTTAATTCAAAATATCAATGAATAGTTTTCAGTATAAAGTTCTGCCGCTCTGGTATTTATGAAAATGAGTGTTTTTTATCAAATAAGGATATTGAATCATTACTTTTTGTTGTATTCCTAACTTTTTCTCAAGATTGCGACTTGTTTCTTGGGATCATTGTCTTACGTGAAAATCTTGGAAAAAATTCTCTATAACGCTCATGAGTATCAAATTTGTGTTAGGATAATGATCATGTATTTTTGTTCAATATAGAAATAAATCTTTTTTTTGTGATATCTACCTCATAGTATGAACCATTATTCACCGTATTTCATTTCGTCGCTTGTATTCGGTAGCTTTGCTCAAACTGAATCAAGTGGGAAAGTGAAAAACGGCATATTATTAAGAACAATAAGCATTTCCAAAATTATTTTCACGTCACCGGACTGTTAGCCATACCTAAAAGTATTTTCACTTAGCTGGGATAACTTCGCTGGACATTAAACACTCCCAAAATCAATTCAACGTGACTGGAATATTGGTCACTTCCAAAATAATTTTCACGTTTAACGGATCGTTATTCACTCCCAAAATTAATTATACCAAATGAGTCACCCCCACAACTACTTACACGTTTTCAAAGTATTGGTCACTCCCAAAATTATTTTCACCAGGCTGGAGTAGTACTCACTCCAATATCATTAGACATTTTCAGAAAAATACAGTGGCCGGGATATCAACCACTCCCAAAATAATTAGTCTCTCCCATTAGTCTCTCCCAAAATTATTTTTGCGTAGCTTGATTGTAAGTCATTCTCATAATTATTTTCACGTGGCCGAAATATTAGCCACTTCTAAAATTATTTTCAAATGACTTGAGATGGTTTTTCAAAAATGTTTACTTGGCCGTAATAGCAGGGGAACCCACGATGCAAAATGGGGATTTACTCGAGCGTCATTGAGGCATATTAGGTTGCAAAGCTTAGATGATAAGAAAAAAAAATGTTATATAATATAGCGGCCATAGATTTTTAAATATGTAAAAAAATACTGTTGCATGGACGTACTCGAGCGCGTCAGATATTGATAGCATCAATGACCAAGGCGAGTTTGCATCGATCTGACGCAAACTCGCGGTCATTATTATAATGTGCAATAAAAATTCGCCATTTTGAAATACTCAAGCGCGTCAGATTAAGATATATATGGTTCATCTTTATGTTTTAGACATGCTGTCTCATAATCTGACGATTATCTAGAGGGATTTGCTTAATCTGACAAAAACAATTTTCATTTTCATTCATTCTATTCATTGAATATGATTAATTGAAAAGTTCAGGAAATAGCATGCAAATAAATGAGTGTATGTTTTTTAAGTAGAATACTTGTATTTTAATTAATTCATCATCATCTTAATCTTCATCACAAACGAGTCTCTGTGATCAGCTGTGATGGCGTCATGGCAACAGAATTCAGAGTGGGGACGGAGTGAGAGTAATAGATAGAGAACAAGGTGAATAGAGAATAGAGGAATAGAAACCCGGAGAGGGAAATATAGGTATCACACAAGGAAATTTATTTATCACACAGCTGCACGCATTAAACTTTATCGACGAATTTTTGTTATTTCGGCTTGCGGAAATAGTTATAGTTATATATTTTTCGTTATCCTTGAATTATTACCTTCAAAATAAAAAAAAAAAAATAGCTACGCTCGAGAATGTCGAAATGACGTTATTTTTTTACAATTTTGCTGCCCTCCCCTTCCTTTACGCCACTCTCAAATTGTCAGATTACTGGAATGTACACTTTTTAGCAGGTAATTAACTCACCCTACCTTAATCTGACGCGCTCGAGAATTTCTGATCATTTTTTTTTAACAATCTGATCCTTTATCCCTCATAGGCGGCCTTATATATGGGGCTCATATTTGGTGGAGGTGCTTAACCGGGTACAAGGTATGCCCCTGTATATTAATCTGCCGCGCTTTAGTAAATCCCGAAACCCCCGCTTGGGCTCCCCTATTATATGCATTTTCAAAATTAATTCGGCTCAGTCGGACCATTAGCGTCTGAATATTTTTTCTTGGCTGGATCAGCCACTTCCAAAATGATTTGTATGTTACTGGAACATTGGGCATTCCTGAAATCAATATGATGTGGCTGGATTACTAACCTAACAGGTATATAAGCCATCCTAAAATTATATAACGTGATCGGATACTAGCCACTCCTAAAAATAATTTCACGTTGCCGAAATTTAGGCACTTCCAAAATCAGTTTCAGGCATCGGCGGGAGGAATTATCCACTTGGTTCTATTTCAACACATAAATTTATTTTCACGTATGTGGAATATTATTCGGGTGGAAATAAAACACATTATTCTTTAAGCAACAGTTTATTTTGTAAAACTTATGAGGAACCAAAAACCAAACTGAAATCCTTATAAATTTTACCAAAGAAACATTTGAAAATAATGAATGTGAAATAAGTACTAACAATCAATTAGGAAGGATATTATGGCATATTATAATATTATTAATAAAAACAATGATTACACGTCTCATAACGTTATATTATATTTACACGTACAGGGTGACGCGGTAATCCTAACGTTGCTTTGGATTTTCACATATCGAAAGATTTTTCGAACTTTACCAGATTTCAATGAAGGAGAAAAATGTTGGAAACTCATGAAGCGCCTCAATAAAACCCGAGAATTTTTGGTAAACTCCAACATTTCTTTCGAATAATCTTCGCTTTTCCGCTCTCACCCTGTAGGCTCACATCGGCTCAAAGATATCTTGCCATACAACATCCTTAGGGCTGAAATATACTTTCTATGTTTTGCTTATCGGCAACACCACTCGAAATATAGTGAGAGGCATCGCTCGGTGGTCGCTAAGCTTAGAGAATTGCCCTGTTATATATTTTCTAGGACGAAAAGAAGTCAGTGTTGAAATCAAATGTGCGTCATGCTCACTATTACATTATTTCTATATATTTGGTCGACAGCGAGGTTACATCACAGGTACGTTTTATAGCTGAGAATTTATCCAGTTCTCGCACGAACAAAAAAAATTAAGGTTCCTTTCGATTTTAGTTCAACAGACGTGGCCGTAACAAAAATGAAAATTTTTGTTAATCTGGCAGTGAAGAGTTACGACAGACAAACTTTTGAATAGGAAGATCACTTTTGAATAGGAAGATCGACCTTAATTTTTATTAGTCGTGCAAAAAAGGAAAACTGTAGGCCCATATTTACCGGCAGTTCGCCGATTCGAGGACAGATCGTTTTTTGTTTTTTTTTCAGGTAATTTTTTCTAGTTTTTTTGGGTTTATTCTTATTTTATCAAAAGTATAAAATACTGTAAAATATTATGAACACAACAATTCTCTCCATCTCACGACTTAATCGTCTTATCATATTATATTCAACAAAATGCCTGTGCAGAGGAAGACAAAAATTATACAAATAGTTCATGCACAGACATATTTCCCAGTATTTATAAGTAGTAAACATGCTAAAACTAAAAAAACACCACTATTTTAATAACAAAATATATAAACACATTGAGCATTTCAAAATCCACCGTTCCTGATTCGGCAAGCCAAAAAGAACGGATCCACAATCAATGTGCTGGGACCCCGGCGGGCCATCTGACCATCTCAACACAGACGGATCCAAGCGCGGTCTCTTCAGTTTGATAAACCAAATATTATACATCACAATCGGTAAACATGTAGACGAAAAAACCGTCCCGACAATGTACACGAAAACATTCTTGAGGAAGATTAAATATTGTCGTATAATTCTATTCAAGACACGGGAGACAATCAGATGGCTTCGCTCGCGTAAGGACCAAAAACTTAACGCGATGCAACAACAAAAATCACACCAAATATTATTTCTCTCGTGTAAACTCAACAATATTTAAAATCCTAACAGTAAAAGCACTTAAAATACAGAAAAGTAAAATGTTTTGACCCCTCAATAATAATAGTATATAACTCGCATAACACAAGTATTAATAAAGCTTAAAATGCATTGTAATCGATGCTCTCTGATCGCAGTCAATTTTTTACTCCCACCTTTTAATTTGGTGGTGAATTACTCGAAAATATTCGGCTGAATAATTTTTTTGGTGGCGTCTTCCCACCTCCCAAACATCTCCAGCTCTTGCTGGATTTATAACGACAAAACCTCCTGGGCAATGTATCTCTTCTCTTCGAACAATCCGTGTTGTTCGAACCGAACGAAAGGGTCAGATAGATTTCTGACGAAATAATAAATTTCACAAACCACGTGTTAAAACACAGTTATGTATGAAACTACCGTTTAAAAATAAAACAGAAAATGTACAATATACAAAGTAAACTACTATAAAACATACTAAAAGAAAACCTATATTATTATTGCTCCTTGGCAAATACTTCGCAATGTTTTGGGCAGCTTAAAAATAAAACGATCCTCAATTTTCGGAAAAAACAAAACAAAAACCAATCGAATGGATAATAAAAACTTTCGCCGTTTATCACATTGTTTTCATCACCAAATCACGTTAAAACATTAAAAAGTATTTGTCCTTTAACAAAAGAAAAAACGTAATCTTTTCGAAAAACCTATACAATATTAACAAATAAAATGAACGTTCATTCTAAATCTTATATGAAACAGAATAATTCAATCACAGTGTTAAATTCCCGTGGATATTTTCGTCAGCAAAAATTCAAACTACTCATCGTTTCGCTGCCAAATTCCTCCTCAGTTCGGAGACGCGCCACCTGAGCCACGCCTGCTTCCTGTTCAGCTCCTCGGAAGTTCTGTGGAGGTTATTCGAAATGGTGGTCAAGTTATCGCAATACTGAGCCGCTTCCCTCAGGATCACCACTTTAGCAGCCCTCTCCTTCTTGCTCACCTACAACAACCCCACAAATTAAATTCTATGCAAAGAACGAAAGAAATTAAAGTTCCAACTTCTTATTGCGGAAGCAAAACGAGCATAGAATTGAATTTTATCTTCACGTTCTTCGCGATCTTCTCGGTTATTTCCAAACTCGGGAATTGAAATAAAATGGCTGGGAGCGTCACAAGTTTTTATCGGTCTTTGTATTCGTATCATTAAATTTTGAATGGATGACTTGAAAGTAACTTTTCACAACCATCTCTCATAAATATGTTATATATAAATAATGTACCCACATTTAAGCACAAGTTCCCGAAAATATGGTGAAATGAAATCTACTGCTTGAATCGTAACGTTTTATTGTATATTTTAATGGTTGGTATGTGAATTTGGGTGGTTTCGATAAACAATATTTTTAATAAAAATGTATCAACATGTTTTTATGAAATTTGACTTGAACAACTCTTGTGTTATACACTGTGTCCGTAAAGTATGGAACAAATTCATTTTTAGCTAAACAGGTCATTTTAAGAAATAATCCTGAAACACGTCGATTTTTGATGTTAATTTACCGTATTTTAAAATAATAATCTAATATACAGGGTGAATTACGTTCGAGTAATGACGTCACCGTCATTTTTTT